TTGATTGAATAAATTTTTGCATTCAAGAAGTGGATATTTGATATATTGGGTACACTATTTTGATGCTGTTTTGTTTTTGTCATATTCTTAATTCTTATTGCTTACCACATGGGAATTGAGGTAATTGAGTTGAAATTTGGGTTGGGTTTTGACCATGTAGAATGCCAGACATCAAATGCGTATTAGAGTTTCTCAACAGATTCAACAAGTATGATTCTATAAGCATGCAATTTTGTTCATATATAATGACTGGTTGACCAATTAAACGGTTAAGCTGTATGATAGTATAAATATGCAACTTTATTTCATATATAATGACTGGTCGACCTGTTTGGCAGTTTTGCAAAAGAATTTGTGCCGCAATATTATTTAGGGTTAGTTCTTGATACAATAAATTTCTAAAATGTTGTAATAATGTTAGCTTTGATTATGTACCTCAATATTTTTTGGATAAATAAGCTCCTGAGACCAATTAACGCGCATATAACTACACAAGTAGAGATTTTCATTTGAATTTGAATACGCATGTTGTCTTAAGTCAACAGGCCAACACAAAATATCTTAATAAGATAGGGCCAAGATGACTAAGTTGACAGGAGAACGGGCATCACAGATCTATTTGCGTTCAATATCATCCAGTTGAGCTCTCACAGAAAATGATAAATTTCCACTTTATTCACAAAGATAGAACTACTTCAGATGAGATTTAGGCTATAATTGTATTAGATAGGACTAACTATGTGACCAACAGAAATTGTGTCAAAAAGATTGGAAGTGAGAATGAGAGTTATGACACAACATAATATATCCGAGAAAAAAAATACAAAAAAAAATATAAAAAAATACTGCATGATATAGCACATAGAATAACTCGATGGAACGGCCTTAGTGGGTAGCTCGGGTATGGTCGGTACTCAGTCCTAGGGAGTTTGTAGCTCGGTTACGGTACTCAACCTTGTCAAAGAGCTCGCTTATGCAGCCCAGGGTACAAATAGACTTGATTAGAGGGCTTGGAGGTCGGGCTCCTTCATGAGCTCAGATAGATAAGGGGACTTTATTACTCAGAGGTTGCAAATGTGGAGGTCGTGGTTACGAATGGTTATAGTTCGTGACATGTAGGTTGCGAGGTAGTTTAGGAGACCTAAAACAAAATTCTTTAAAGAAGAAAAGTGTATCTCATTCAAGAGTATAAGGTTCTAGAAATATGATAAGCTAGGGAAGTGGATATGGTTAGATCTCTTTCCTAGGCAGTGACTGGGTTCTATTTCATACACAACGCATCTTTACGTATACAATATACAATTTTTCCGTCATGGACGAGTACTGAATTGAGCGTCGGAGGTTTTTCTGTCGCCGTATATTGCAGGTCACCGGAGCTCGAGACAGAAGGTCTTCGTGGTGGTGTTGGTTTAGCCCAGTTCAAGAACAATTTTACGTGGAATGACCAGGAGGACTAGATGAGTTGATTCGAGCTCCGATTTTCAAAAGAGGTGGGAGTCCGAAGCAAGGATCTCGAGTCCCTAAGCAATTCAGAGGTTAAGCCCGAAGCTCGAGTGCTGACCATTAAAGCAAGTTGAAAAGCAGAAGCACACAAGAGTGTTTACGAATAACTCAAGGTGCAAGATTCATTCATAAGAGACAGACAAAAGCTGGACGATAAAAGAAGATGTTGCATTCAAATAAAGTTAAGATTACAAGGTTCGCCTAAGTTCAAGTAGGTCTATTACATAAGCAAAAATAGGAAAATGACCCGAGGGTCGCGCTTTCCCAATTTCCAGTATAGCCCCGACCTCTGCTTGAGCGCGTGTACGCTCGGTCCTAATCAAGAGGTACTATGCTTAAGCTTAGCTAGTTCATTTTTACTTAGTTTATTATACAAGTTTGTTCAGACCGTTCATCCTGTTCATGAATAAACTTCAATTTATTTCTACCAAATATGGTGCACGTTTAGTATTTTGGTGGTTAAGTATTTTGGAGGTCAAAACGAGTAAAGATTTTCGAGCTTAGTAATGTAAGAAGAAGCAATCATTCACAGTAAAAAGATAAAACAAAAAACATCCAGGTCAACTAATTAATTGCATTTATGAACAAGTTGGGTGCAATGAATCATTCTTGCACAAGCTTTGGTAGCTCGTTCAAGAAATGGAGGCTAGATGAAATGGCACCTAGAATAGCTCGGTGAGACTGGCTTGATTGGTTAGCTCGGCTACGGTCTATCCAAGGGAGCTTTAGCTTGATTTCGGTGCTAAACCTCGTCAGGGAGCTCGCATATACAATTCAGGGCACTAGTCAACTTTATTAAAGGGCTTGGAGGTCAGGCTCTTTCAGCAGCTCGAATAGACAAGGGGACCTTATCACTCGGAGGTCGTAAATGTGGAAGTCGTGGTTATGATCTGGTTATAATCCATAGCAGGTAGGTTGCGAGGTGGTTATAGTCGACCTGTGGACCTAAAAGCCGAATGGTAAGTGGGGATAAAATCCTTTAAGGATGAAAATTATTTCTCGGTAAGAAGTCTGAGATTCTAGAGACGTAATAAGCTAGGAAAGTAGATATGGTTAGATCTCTTTTCTAGTCAAGAATCTACTTAGGTCACAAGACACCCTAGAACATAAAGGGTGATCATGTTCTATGCTACACAACGAGTCTTTACGTGTACAATATACAATTTTCCTGTTATTCTCACCAGCGAGTATTGACTTGAGCGTCGGATTTTGTTGGCTGGGACCCCTCGCCGACGTATTTCAAGTCATCGGAGCTCGAGACAGAAGGCCTTTCGCGGTGGTGCCCGTTTAATCCGGTTCAAGAACAATATACTAAAACTAATACAAGAAAGCACAAAAACCAACATATAATGAGGAGATAGGTGATTCCAGTCAATCAAAACTGAATGTAGTTGAAATAGTTACTGGTTTCAGAAATAGCAGTGCTGAACAACAAAGTCATTACAATTCAAAATGAATGATCAAGAATTTTCCTAATGTTATATATGCCTCATCAATAGGTAAACCGGTCTTAGTCGACTTGGGCTAACTGCAAGCACGATGAAAGAAGGGCACATACATGGAATGGTACCATGGCTCAGGTTTTCCTACCCTTGGACGATAGTCTCAACGATATCCTGCAGAGCTGCAAGTTCAGCCTTGTCGATCAACCCAAATTCCTGCATATTTCACAATTTTATATTTGTGTTCGTAAACATACACTGATTACAAACATATAACGTTCGGATGAGAATAAGGACATATATATAGTATACCCACCCAAATGAAGAGAACAAAATGCTTAAAGCAAGTGTTGAGATGAGGCTCTTCTTTGAGGCTCAAGACCTTCTGAAAGTGGGAGTGATAAATGTGGGCATACACTCGAAACAAACGCCTCAGTATGATTTTCACCACATCTTGAAAGTTTGGTGGAAAGGGTACTCCTGCATCAAATCACATATATCATCATTGTTATTTTAAATTTAGTTAAATGATTTTCAATGAACACAAAAAATTCCACCACATACCCAACTTCTGTGGGAAAATGGTCTCGTCATCGAGCTGAGCCTCAATCCAGTTCATTAAGTATTCAACATATTTTGGAGCAGAAACAACTATTGGTTTCTTTATGGTGACTCCATCAGCCCATCTGTACTCATACCTTCATAAGGGAAAATATGGTATGAATATGACAGCAAAAAGAGAATCTAAATGAAAATTTGTTCACTGAATTAGTTTATATTACAATTCAAAATGGAATCTTTCGCGCGTACACACATGTTATTCTTATGCATATGTCGTTATATATATGAATGTAAACATAACAAAAAACATGATAATAAATTAACGTACTTTGGCCCGGCAGACATTTTTGGACAAGTAGCCGGCGTGCAGAATTCTGTGATTGTCGCATAGAGTATGTTTGCTTGATTGAAAAAGTCGACAGCTGCATTAAGGTGAGACAACAGATGTACTTTGTCAATTACGACAAATTTTCGCGACATATTTTGTCGTTTTATTACTTAAATTACTCGTTCGCAAAAATTGAATGAGGCCAGCTGTGTCGTAAAGAATGTTTTCCTTGATCCAGAAAACCGATATCCACATGAAGTGCGTAACAAATGCAAAATATTAATAACGAGCATATTCGAAAGGTACGAATGCACGCGTTATTGTCCATTACGTTAATGTTGAAACAAAAAAACACAACAATGATTGCACATGAAGTACGACAAACATGACATCAAATTTTTCTAATTGGTACTTGACAAAAAAGATTAATCACTTTGCATACAGAAAGAAAACAGCCAAAAGCTGAAATATGGTGACTAACAACTGCAATCGATGTTTTTATTTAACTAATTTTGATACACTTACATCGAAATCCACCTAAGGACATAGAAACTTTATTTTGTTAAAACCTTGCCAGTTTAAGATGGAGCAAAAGGATAATTGATTGGCCACTCATATCACAGTCATTAGCATGTCACAGTCCAAGAAGCATAAATAACCATTATTGATGCCGTTTTGAAATGAAACAGACATATACATCAATGAGAAACTGTACAAACAAAAAAGTTTACTTAAAAAAGGGTGAAATCTTACTGTTAACGGCCAACCACTCGTTAAGATCTTCTCCAGGTGGAAGCTTTACGGCTTCCCTCAAGTTGCCGCTACCTAAAGTTGCATCAATGTGCCTCTTTAGTTGCAACCCCTGTTTGAGTTAAAAGAATCTCAATATATTTAAATTAAAAGGAAATACATGCATAAATTGAACACTTCAATAACCAACTTAATTTTCCAAAAAGGCGAAATAATTAATCATTATTTTGGTTTTGCGGACTCAATATAAATTTATGAAGTCACTGCATGCAAGAAATAAGAACACCAGCGTATTTTTTCGAGCTTTTATTTTTCAATTCTTTTGGAAAATATTTATATATTAAGTAAAAGGAAGAAAAATCAACATGCACAACTTCACAATATAAGAAGCTGATAAGCAAACAGACCTTG